GCCCCTTAACTGTCAAACCCAAACCCTCAGAGCGATGTATAGGGGTATATGGGATATATTATATGGTCCCCCTTAAAGTAGATAGAATATAGGGTTTAGGATTTAGGATTTAAGGATTTAGGGTTTAGGGTGTAGTCCCCCTTAAGCAGGTATGGGTTATATATTATTGGGGTTATATAGGGATAATGGAAAAGAAAATGGAAACTACTACAATGGGTTATATAGGGTTTAGGGTTTAGGGTGTATGGGGATACATAGGGGGCATCTAGGGGGGTATTTATACAGGATTGGTGGAGAATCAGATGGAAAACAAGATGGAAAATGAGGTAGAACCTACTATTTAGGGTTGAGGGTTTAGGCTTTTAAGGAGATCTAGATAGGGATCTATAGGAATGGTTGCAACGTGGAAACAGGGCTCAGAAAAACATAGGGGCTTAGGGTCCGGGGTCATAATACGACACAATGTATTTGTATATCATGCAATATATCCCGATGGGCCATGAACTAGACAAATAAAGTAGACTAGACCCCATATTCTATATACTTCAGGGGCTCTAAACCCTATATAACCCATTATAGTAGTTTCCATGTTCTTTTCCATTATCCCTATATAACCCCAATAATATATCCCATATCCTATCTACTTAAGGGGGACCATATTTTAGGCAAGGTTCGGGTCTTGGGGCGGGGCTCGCAGCAAACGGGAGATCCAGTGGACTCCAATTGCGACCAACTTCAAAAGTATACAAAATTCCTACATTTCCAACCCCTGAACTCCCTAAAGCCGTAAACCCTGAACCCTAAACGCAAGAAGGTTAAGGCCTTGCGCCGGTTGCGGACGATGATTTTCTCGATCCTCAACTCCTTTGTGGATCTCCTCTGGGCCATTATCGTGGTGCCTTGGCATTCTTGGGGGTCTTTCTGGGGATAATAAGGAAGCTACGATGCTTTTTATGGTTTAAGGTATGGGTTTAGGTTAGGGCATTTGGCATTCTTGCGTGGTCAGGGGGACTTAGTAAGTATATTTACAACCACTGTATGCCATACAATGCCCCAACTACTTTTTAAAGTTCATAAACCTACTTGCTAAGTCGCCTGACCATCCAAGTTTTCTTTGCTGTTTCAGGGTTGTCGAACAGCTGAGGCCGAGGGTTGTATTAGGGGTTCAATGGATTGGGGTTTCAGAGGCTTTGATTTCATGGTTGGATGGCACCCTCAAATTTGTTGTAGTCTTTATATGACCCCTTCCTCATTTCCCCTATTCTCGACTAACCGCCAGGGAGTTGTAAGATGGTGATGATGAAGGAAGGTCATTTCTTGAAAGTCCCACTTTCATTCCACTTCCCCAAACTAACACGGAAGTCATGTACAAGCCTCGTGAATGGGTTGTAGTTGGGTCATTCCCCGTTACGGCAACTGTCCTTAAAGGGATTTGTCTAAGGGGCTACTTTATGTCCTAGTATTTCTTCTTGTTGTAATTGTTACTGTAAGGGGGAATGACCTAAGATAGTAGGCCCTGTAACCCCCTCTCTTGAGGTTCCGTGTTTGTTTGGCTGATGCTTTACGATGTCATGGCAGCGGAGCAATGACTTGGGAAAAAGGGCAGAAGGCTAGCCTCCAGGTCTTCGTTAACAAGGATGGCAATTCCCCCAAATTATAATAAAATACTCATATACCCCATATCAAGCGAAACTATACGGGATTGTGCCTACTTCACATGCCGTTGGATCCCCACATGCACGATTCGCAGCTGGAGCCTCTACAGTAATTTTTGAGGACTTGATGCTGTAGAATTTGAATACAATTCTCATGTACATGTTTGGTGCAGTCTAATTACTGTACTGTACTCATACTGGACTGTAATGAGGCATGAGTTTGTTTCAGGAGCCGAGGATACATTCTGTTTGAAGGTTGAAGTTTCTGTTCATGGTTTTCGCTCAACAACGCTAAGCCCTAAACCCGACATCCTCAACATGACTCCATCCCAGGTCATCTTGATTATTTACATATTCAGCATCATCTTCAGCAATGCCGTGGCGTTGTACTTTGATGAGGCCCACAGCTGGCGTGTGAACCTACACTCCTGCCAGAGAGCACTGGAAGCCCACAAAGGACCCCAGAGCTATTACTGTACTTTGGAAGGGGGCTTCCATCAGGGTAAACCCCATACCCTGCTACCTAGACCCCATACCCGTGAGTTTGGGCCATCTAGGTATAAATCATAAACCCTAAGCCCCAAACTAAACCCTGAACCCTAACCCCAAGCCTACGTTTTGGCCCTCAGTTTTGCTAGCTCATGGTGACCTTGTGTGCTAGAGTGCGTCAGATGGGAGTACAAGCATGAGGCTATTGCAGGGTTATGAAGTATAATGACTCATGCAGTTGCAGTGTTATGTTGATATGGGCTGAAGCTCTTTCTGGGCTTGCACAGACATGCTCATGTCGCTTGCATTCTCTCATGTCTTGGGAAGCCATTTTGGTGCTGGACGGAGGGTTGGAGTGAGGGTGATTTCCGGACCGTGCTGCAACAGCATTTCTAAGTACATGTGCCCTTGAGAAAAGGTCCCATAAAGAAACCCTAAGCCTACACCCATCTATGCCCTGGTAGGTCTACAAGGGCTCGCAACAGCCTGGAGATAACGTGGACTCTAATTTTTAAGTACTCCAAATTCGTTGATTATTGACAACAGGAGTTTCTTAAAAGCAGGGTCCAAATATGCACCCCAGTAGGAAACCTGCAAATCAATTAGATCCGCAAAAACAAGGGTGTTGCCTTCTTGGTGTAGCATTGAATGTTGAGGGTTTAGGGTTCAGAGTGAGGGTGCTGCAGCTGCAATGAGAAAGCGGTTGTCCAACACTCCAGCCGACATCGCCCGAACCAAAAACTTCAGACCTGCCACCCTAAACCCTGTTGAGAGTCTAGGCTTAGGGTTTAGGGTCTAGGGCAGCAAAAGATCAGCTGCTTTCCTGCGCATGAAGTACCACGTCAAATCAAGCGTAGCAATGTCCCCTGAACCCTAGACCCTAAACTCTGCACCCTCCCTAAGCACCTATCCACCTACTTAAGGCTGCAGAGTTGATTCTCAAAAATTAAGATCTGAATTTCGATTCTGAATCCTAAGAACCACTGCTGACAGTATTGTCATTATGATTATTATTACTATTATGATTTTTATCCTCATTATTATCATTGTCGTCACTACAAAAATTGCTACTGCTAAGCCTAAGCCTAAATCCTAATATCCAAAAGGGAAGATGGGAGTGAGTCCCTACGAAGAGGGCCAGCGAAGGAAAGGGAACATCTTCAAGCTATCATGATGAGTGGGGCTGCAAAGACGACCAATGGCAAGAGTGGAACGACGAATGGCAATGGGAAGAAGATGAAGAAGAAATTGAGGTGGAAGAACCCCCTCACCCTAAGAGGCGCCCAGCAGCGACAGCGCATCCGAGGAGAAGGCGCACTGCAACAGGCTCGGGCCACGGTGGCAGACCTGAAGGTACCCATACAACAACGGCAGATGACATGGCAGCAAACCTTTTGGATATCTGGAAGAAGCTCCTTCAACTTCAACTGCCGATGCAGCCAGGGTCAGGTAGCAACCCTACGGTCCTGGACACCCAGCACACAGCATACAGTCCGTGATGCTGTGGCAATCGCCGATGCGGAGACCTTATCGGATATGTACGCGTCCCTGGCGATGTTCGTGTCCCTGTTGCTGGCAGAAATCAATCGTGCAATGGAACATGGGAGAAGACTTGCACGTGACCAGAATCCGGACGGAACCTCATTAATGCAGCTTCCGCAGTGGATGACTCTGGTTCAAAGAATTGCAGACCAACTTGCAAAGATGATTGGACCAATCCGTCGAAGGTGTGCCCAGCAATTGGCAAGCCTGGTACACACTTCGGCCCATCGCCGTTTTCAGCCCCAGCCAAATTAGCACCGACATTGCTCACTTGGAGGCAACACTGACCCGTTTCATCGAGGAAAGGGGTGACACTGCCAGGCTGAGTGACACCGCATGTCAAAAAATGGGCTCAAGACCATTGGACGACCTTTCAGACCGAACTCAACAAGAGACTCATGCGAGCGGGATCGACACCCCGTGAAAGCAGCACCCCTGAGAGTCAGCGACCCAAAAGGAAGCGGGACGCTGAACATCGCGAAAACCTGGAGTTCTCCAGGAAGCCCGGCATCCATGTGACTGCCAGTGACAATCAGGATGGTGTGATTGGACGAGGCTATGTGCCACTGGGCCACTTTAGCGGGCCACTACAAGTAACAGTTCGCTTTCTTCCAGAATCCAAAGAGATCAGGGACCCAACGGCAAGCGTCCTCACAAGCGCTGCAAGTGGAAATTCCACCCAACAGCCCAGAGGCAATTGCGCCCGTGGCCTTTGACCATGGCAACCACACTGAAAAGATCTTCCCAGAGTACCTTCAACCTTGGCTGAGCGGAGCTGTTGCAGACGTGTGGATTCTGGAACGAGCAGGGATGAGTACATTACAGTGTATATGGCGGTCAAAAGATCGGGTGGAGATGACTTGCTCCCTCCAGTGGACACCAACAAGGAATGTGTCTGGCTTCTGCGCTACATGAGAATGGGGACGCTGTGGGCAGTGCGGAAACAGCAGTTGATACGGAAATTATGGCAAATACGGGAGCCAGATGAGTCAGGGAGTGTCGGCATGTGAGAAATGAGTGGCCTTGAGGGAATTATGTGCACCACCCACTGCGGTAGCCCGTAAGCGGCTATGCAGAGCTGTGGTTGTTTGCATTGAGGGGTGGAGTTTTTACGCCGAATCTCGGAGACACGAAGCTTCGTGGAAATAACGAAAAGATTTGAGAAGTGAAAAGGGGTTGGGCCCAAATCGGCTGACCAGTAGGTCGTTTCCGCCGCAAAGAGGAAAAGAGCCGTTGCAAAAAAAAAACCCTACTATCCCTACTGCAAACTTTATGACTGTTAAGTAGGTCAACCTGAAGCCTTGCATGCCGCAGGTGAACTTGAGCTTGGCCGGTGTAGCAGATGATCAGAGGTCGGAAGAAGGTTTTAGGGTGTTAGGATTTCAGGATTATGGGTTTTAGGGTTTAGGGTTTAGGGCTTTAAAGATTTTAGGGTTGAAGGATTTTCGGGTCTTACGGTTTTGGGCCTGAAGATGTTAGAGTTCAGTGTTTAAGATGTGCGTGGGGTTTGAGGCTTCCAGGCTTTCTGGGGCTTCTGGTCATATTTCTACAGAATGAATCCCTACATTCTGTCGGTGACCTTGTGCTGCTTTTTACGATAAAGCCCTAGACTCAAACCCTAGCACAGCCCTGCAGGAGAGCAAGCATAAGCTTGGCCAAAGACGCCGAGCCCTCAGGAGGGCGTGGCCCACTAACCAAGTGGTGCTTACAGGGAAGCAGGTACTTTTCTGTTCTCTACTAGCGTTTAGGATGTAGGGTTTAGGGTTCAGAGTGGGGGAGGGAATGCAGGTGCTATAATGGGGGTATATATATATATGTGTATTCATGGGATTTTTATAGGGAAAGCCTCGCTCAGTCTTAAGCAGAGAGCTGGTTGAAGGTTTAGGATTCAGGGTTCAGCGCTTCAAGCGACCGGGCCCTAGTGGAGACATGGTTTTGGTGGTTGTGTTTTGCAAGATATTGTGAGAAGTGGGTTCTGGACGAAGAATTCTAGAAACTTTGAAAACTGGACCTATTTTCGATGCTTCTTGTTTAATTAGCTTTGACGTCGGACTTTAGCCTGGGGTCATAAAGAGCTCGCAGCAGGATTTACTCTTGGCTGTATGGAGCAGCATGACCCAATCAAAACACATGCTATCCAAAAACTATTGAAACAATATAAGCGCTCGGGCTACTCCAGCTGGCAAACATCTAACCGGTGGTTAGATAGGAATGGAGGGAAGGCTCCCTACAGTGCTACAGTAGTCCCCACATTATCACCTGCAATGGCGCTCAGAACCCATTCCTCTATTTTGCGTACTTGCCGCCAGTAAGCCAAGGTAAACCTGGAGTTTGGAGATCTTTACAAGGCCATGCTTGCTCTCTGGTCGGCCGTCAGTGGCGGCAATGCCACCCGGCTCAGCTGAAGAAAGGAGGATATAGGAACAGGTAGGGGCTTGCTTTCCGAAACCCTGAGCTCTAAAGTCGTAAACGTTACACTCTAAGCCGTAAATCCTGGATTGGAGAGTGTAGGGTTGCGGATTTGAGAGGCGGATCTCAGTGGAATCAGCCTGTCAATTTTCTGACACCTCTGCTCAACCTGAAGGGTTTGAGGTTTCAGGGTGAGGGTTTTCTAACGAAGAAGGATTCTTCTGTTTAGGGTTCTGATACGTAAAGGGCCTGGGTATGTGGGACATACCTTTTGGGCCGCTGGTTCTTGAAAGCTGCAGAAACCTGTACTGTACGTATTGAGAGGGGAGCTGGCAACTTCCCAAATTACCTTTGTAGGATCCGCGAGAGGGACCGCTAGAATCCCCTGCAGAATCACACGTCTTTAAACTTTGAATGTCTCTAGAATTCTATTAAGCTCCCCATTTATCCCCCAATTTTGAGAAACCCGCTTCTGTCAACTTCTCGCTTTCCCACCTATCATGGCGTGGGCCAACTCTGATCCCGCAAAGGCTTAGCTTCCCTCCATCAGCCTCAGAATACGGTAGGCTTGGTAGCTTATCAGGGGTAGGTTTGAATATGATTTTTAAGTTTTGTTACCTTTAATCCGTATATATATTGTCCTTATAAAGTCCTGGATATTCAATCTTTATAGGGCCCTCAAACCTACCCTAGTTGGAGGTTCAGGGTTCAGGCTTGAGCTTTTAGGGTCCAAAGCTGTGGATCCCACCACCTACGCGCACCTTTTCAGGCATGACGAAGCTGCAAGCAAGCAATTGTTTTTTCAAAATCGAGGTGCCCTTAGCTACTCTACGGCTCTATCGGCATTTTAAGTTCCTGAAGGCCCCAAACCTTAGACCTTCAATCCCAATCCCTAAACCTTAAATCGAGATCGCATGTCTGGGATAATGCTTCATTTCCTTTCTGGTTTATATGAAGACCTATTCAAGAATGATTTCTTGGGCCGCGCTGAGTATCACTCTGCAAATTCTTTGGGTGAAATCACCTTAAACCTAAATAACTGAACCTTCACCCTAATCATCCCTAATTCCTAAATTCTAAATCCTGAGTCCTAAGCCCTCAAAGCACACTAGAAGAACCCACAGGACTGGATGATGTACGGCTCCCTTCTGAGCGCCTCTGCTAGAAGAGGCAAGTTCACTGCGTCACGGAACTTAAGGGTTTTTGGGTTAAGAGTTCATGGGTTTAGGGGTTTAGGTCGTATCATTATTACTAGTTCAGGGTTGTAAGGACTTCCGGTCGTTTGGTGATTAGGGCTAAGGTTTGGGGGCTTGGGCTTAGAGACTAGGGTTCAGCGTTATACCGTCCCCCAAAACAGACATGGCACGCCATGTAGGTAAATGGAACCACATGTAAGTATCCCGGAGAAGATTGGAGTTTTGTAGCGACCTCCTGTTGGACACGCCATGCTTTTTGTTGCAGATGTTTCTGTTTCTTGCTTGGCGAGAAGGCAAAGAAGCGCAATAAGGAGAATGAAGAAAAACAAGGGGACATGAGATGCAAATCAAGGACGGTTGAACAACTCTGTGATGGGCCTCCAGATCCTGGACATACCGTAAACCATGAACCCGCAGACCCAAACTGTAAGTCCTAAAAGCTAAGCCCAGAACTGTCTCAACCCAACCATGCTATGTAACAATTTCCCCAAATAGGGAACCCTAATTTTAATCCCCTAATACTATAACCCTTAGTAAAGCGACCCCTAATTTTGGGAACCCCCCATGTTCTTATTGTGCACGATTCTTTCACTGAGGAAGTATCAGCCATGGCGAGCTTTACTTCGTGATCTTCAACTTCTACATTGCGTGTCTTGTTTGGAGTTCAGGTGTTTAGGGTTGAGGGCTTGAAAATGCAGGGCCGCATGCAAGTACATGGAGTGACATATAGGGCTTTATGATTCCTTAAATCCCTGTATTCCCCCAGTTTCCATTTCATTTTCCATGTTCTTTTCCATGTTCTTTTCCATTTGATTCTCCAATATATGGGGATAATATACTCTACAATTTATGAGGATTTTCTGGATTGTTGCCCTGCAGGAGCTGGGTTGAGCCAATTTTTGCAAGGGCGTGAAGGCAACGCTCTCAACTCGGTGACATACTCTGGGTCTGTGTGGGCTGCTTCATCTCATCCAAGGAATACTGACAAGCCCGGCCTGGTTCCAGTACTATTTATGTCTGGAGTGCTGTAAATATTTTCTCTGACAACCCTTACCTAATGGTAATTAGCATGTACGCACCGAGCCCTAGTTTTGTTTTTCACTCACTTACAGTACCCACTCTGCAGAAGACTGTCCAGAGAGCATCTCTGTCTCCCGTCATGACACGTGCTGCCCTGTGGCGTTAGGCTTTGTGACGCTTATTGCTTTGAGCGAAATGGTGATGGTGGTGGTGATGATGCTAGCTAGCGGCTCTGGTTCCCTGAAGTCTTTTTTTACGATGGGCATGGGAGTTACGATTTTTCACGCTTCTGCGAGTGTTGCTATCACAAGTGTTTTCATCAGATGCCCGCGGATCTTATCTTCCTACACGTCCGTACCCCTGAGTGAAACCCCAACAGAATCCGTGAAGTCCAGATACTGGGGTTTCCCAAAATTAGGGGTACCTTTTAGGAGGGGAGTCCCCATGATAACAAGAATATAGTTTTTAGGGTCTATATTTGAGGTACCCCTCATTTTGGGAAACTGACATACTGCTCACTGCCCAATGCCCTACACCCGCAACCACCCTGCTAAGGTTCTGTGTCATTGGAATGTTCAACGCCGATGCCCTCAGCTTCTGAGAGGGGTCCAGGGTTTAAGGGCTTGTGTGTTAGGGTTGGTTGGGAGTTTCCTCCAATTTGCGCTAGAAAAGTTGGATAGGAGGTTTGATTTTCCATTATCCCTAGATATCCCTATCTAATCGTTATATCACACCTACCTACCGCAATATTATGCTCCTCGTTGGGTTTTAGCATCATAAAACCCACAGACTAGGTTCTACGGACCTTAAACCTAACACCCTATCCATTCCAAGGTGGATGGGCTTTGGGTTGGGAAGCCTGCGAGTCTGATCCAAGCTCTTTAGACGTATACTCAGGGATTAAGTACTCAGGGAGTATATGAGGAGTATAGAGGGTAACAACATGTTTTCAATATTATCTTAAACTCATATCTCAATAAGGAACCAGCGGCTGATACCCAGAAACCCTAAACCTTAAACCCTAAACCCCAAATCCTAACAATCTGAGCGGTCAGATGCCTGACGGGGTTGTCCTACGCCATCGTTTTGCTATTTTGTTGGATTTTGTTGGCAAACCTCAAACTAGGTTGCTGTTAAGGAACTTAAATTAAGTTACTTTATTGTGGAAACCTTTTCATGATTTACTATATATACTCATTATGGTAACTTGATTTAATTTCCTCAACAGCAATGCAGTAAACCTTAGAGCCTCATGTACAAGCCTGAAGACTTTCCAGTACTATTCACATCCGCACTCATACAGCCATATTACTGAATACTCCACACGCTATTCTAATTAAACAGTTCGCTACGTGGAATCCCTGTAAACCCCTGCATGACCCCAATTTCCATTTCATTTTTCATTTTCTTTTGCATTTGCTTCTCCGTTTTTGGACTGCTTGGCTGCGGTCGCCTCCGTACGCCACTGTTACATGCTCGGACCATTATTTTGGTCAAAGGGCATAAGATCGTGTCGCTGTTACTATTCGTGGCTCTGCAGGCGGTGATGGTTGGAGTGGTGACGAATTGAGTTGTTTGCCTTTACAGGTTTGGACGTTGTTTGCCGAGTTGTGTGAGCGTTGGTTTATTTCGGGTCGTCTCCCTACGCCCATGTTACATGCTCGGACCGTTAATTTTGGTCAAAGAGCATAAAATTAAAAACAGCAGGCTTGTGGCGGACCATGTGCGACCTATCACCGTGCATAGTGGGTTGTGGAGATGCTTTGTAAGCGCTTGGCTTAAGTCGGCTCAGATGGAAGACTGGATTCGGTCTTTTCTTCACCCTTCGGGTGTGTATGGTCGGGGTGGTGACCTGCAGGATGCTGCAGCGATGATTTTGCAGACTTATGCCGAGTGTGGCTATATTGCCACACTAGATTTTACCAACTCTTTCTTTTGAGTCCGGAAGCTACCGCGGCTATCTTGCAGAAGCTTGGTTTTGATACTCGCATGGTTTGCCTGTGCAAGCGGATGTGGTTGCAGCATGTCGGATGGTTGTCGTGGGATGGTCATACTGGCAGCGTCCCCTTGAGAACGCACATGGCAGTGCCTCAAGGTGATCCCTTCGGTCCCCTCATTTGTGCTGCGTGGTTGAGTGCCGGTGCCCGTTTTCTCGACAGGACCTCCATTTACATGGATGATAGGACTTTTACGGCTTCTTCGGCTTAGGGCCTCAAAGATAAATGCGATTTTTGGAGTACGTGGTCCTATTTTGCGGGCCTGATTGAGTCAGGTGACAAAGCGCAATTTGCTGGTAAAAAGGACGTGAATCAAAGAGCGTTTGCGGAGCACTTTGATGAGGACCGCCTTCGCAGAGATAGCCTTTTTTGCGGGGTTGTGAGTTGTGAGCAGAGGTAAACCTCGGTCGGACCACGAGAAGGAGGAGGAACGCATTGCAGACGCTTGTCAACGCTTGATGTGGCTTGGTGCATTGCGCCTGAGCACCGAAGTGGTTGGTCGTTATGCGAACATGTTTGGGCTTAGTGCCGTCGTGTACGGTTGGATTGGTCGTCTTCCTGCTTGGAAAACCATTACTAAGTTTTGGATTGCTGTTAAGCGTGCACAAAATATTGCTTGGATGAGCAATAGATTGTTGCGTGCTGTTGTGCTTGGTGGTAAGACTCACTTGGATATCCGTAGTGCATGCAAAATGTTTCGGGTTGTTTTCAGTTGCATCGCTCTGGTCGCTGCAATTGGAATGAGTTGGTGGGTAGCCCTCTTGGTATCTTGCGCCATTGGCTTGTGCAGCGTGGGTGGGAAGAGGACGGCCCGTGGAGTTGGATCAGGCACGATGTTCGTCTTTCCATGAGGGCTAATGCCCAGCTCCTGCAGCAGTTGCATAACTTGCGCGTTGGTTGGCGTGGCTATTGCTGGACTCGGTTTCTGTCGCCCGGAAGACATTATGTAGAAGATGCTGGCATGGCTGATATCCGTGCGATACGTCGTTGTGATTTCAAGCATTTGAGATCCATGATGGTTGATCATGGTTGTCGTTCGGTTGGTGCCACGGTCAGTCCCGCTTGGTTCCGTGAGAGTCGTGAGGTTGCTTCAGATCGTTGTCCTTGGCGTCCTGGTCTTGGTACTTGGGCTCACCTTTATTGGTTGTGTCCACAGTCTCCGCTGCAGGGTATGAGATCGGTCATCCCTCGTTGCCCCCTCCTCTGCAGGTGGGCTTGGGGTACGAAGCTGCAGGCCAAAAGGATCCTTCTCTACTTGTCTCAAGTTCAGAAAAGTATCTGGGCAAGTGGATGGGGTCCTTAGCATGGTGATGTAGGCTTGCCTAATATGTTTGCTTGTTTCATGCGAGCGTTTGCTTTGCAAGTTTGTTTGTCTTGTTTGCGGAGATTCACTTTTTCCAGTGAGGGGCGCAACCACGCTGGTTGCACTGTACCCTGTATTGTGTACAGTGGGTCCATAAGGGTGCCCTGTCCATTTGGGGGCTGCTGGCACCGGAACAAAGTTAGTTATTTAGTTGGTTCGTTAGTTAGTTGGCTGAGGTCGTCACTGGTGTGTTCGTGGACAGCGCTGTCTGTTGCAGGCCGGATTGTGAGCAGACTGGTTAAAGATAACGAGACCACGATTACGGCTTGCGATTTAGGGTTTAGACCAATCTACACATAAGGTATGGCTTCGAGGCATTGAGGACATGAACATCATCTCGAGAAAGCACAAACGCAGCCATTTTCTTGTTGTCTAGATTCTCACACTCAATGCGATGACAATCCGAATTGTTGCATGCATCAGCACTCTGGATGAACGTATCGGGATGATTTAGGTATATATATATATATAGAAAGATTTATGGTTTAGGCTTCACAGTGCCACAATGGAGTATCAAATGGAGAGGAATACGGGAAATTTAACGGAAAAGAGGGTTACGCGGCCGCAGTGGTGTAA